ATGATGAAATTAGATATATTTTCCAGCCATAAATCCAGCTAAACAAAGACATCCCATGTATATCTAGCCAAATCTTCACAGCTTCCTCACCTATAAATGCGCTGCATGATGCGCCTGGCTAGCAGCTCCGACAGCTTCTCCCACAGTCCAAAGACGTAGCCTTCCAGTCCCGTTCGCTGGCGACTGTCGTAGGGCTGCGGCACATACCAGCGCTCCTCTGGATTGCCCATCAGGCTGTGCACGAAGCCAATTGGCTGCTGAGTCGTGATAATGGCCACCGGGCAATCGAAATGTGCAGCGACGCCCAGAAGATGATCATTGAAATGGTAGCCCAGCAGCATGAGATCATAGGGCGTTGCTGGAGTGTGCTCCATAAACTCTCGCCATTCGGGCTGATCCAGCAGCTCGCCCGATTTCTCCAATCTCTCAAGTGTCCATTGCAGGCGACTCAGAAAGTTGGCGTGAGGCTCGATCAGCTGCTCCTTGGGCAGCTGCCAGGGCAGCAGCAGATGAGTTACATTCGCCGTCAGCCACTCCCTCTCCAAGGGCTGGCTGGTTACCAGAGTCAGCTGATGGCCACGCTGGAGCAGCACCCGGGCCACCGCCAAATGGACCAGCAGCTGGGATCGATGCACGCCCACAGAGAGGCACAAAATGCGACTGCCCTGGACGCCAGCGGTAATCCAGCAGGCGAGCAATAGAAGTGGATAGCGCAGCGAACAACTCATGACTGAGACCCACATCAGCTGCTCCACATCAAATGCCCATTACGAGGGAGCGGGAGGGCGAATCCATCAGGCTGATAACAACAATGCCCGCAATTTACTTATACAACAAATTCAAATCGAGCCAAAAGAAACAACAAAAAGGCCAAATGAAATGTTTTATCAAAACAAAAGAGAATTGGAAAATAATAACATTACATGTCTGGGTAATAATGAGTAATACTTTGATTGCATTCAAATAAATCAAATAAAATTATTACAAATTGTGTTTCCTCTTTTAAGACCATTCTTATTTGTTTTGTTTTATTTATGTTTTCTTTTCTTTCTATAAGCGATTTATTGATTATGATAAAGTTTTGAAATGAGTAAATAAAATCTGAAGTTTAAAGTAAACTGATGTATAATGATATATCAGTTCACAGAATTATGTATATCAAATATGTGCCACTTACAATATTTAAAAAAATAAATAAATAAATATAATTTTTTATACTTCCGGCTGGCATTACTTCTTGGGCAACTTGGAGAAATATTCTTCGTGGAATTGCCTCAATATAAGCTTGAACTGTTCTGCCTGTTGGGCCAGCATGATCTTATGCTCGTCGCTCTCATGATCGAGCATTTCATCAGCCTCGACCAGAACTTGCAGATAGCGCAGCCAATTGGCTTCCAGGTCGAGGATCTGTTGGCGTGCCGCCTCCGGCAAGGGGACGCGATATTTATGTAGAAGCACAAACACCTCCAGCATGGGCGTGAATCTGGACTGTTTCCCTGGCACAGCCTGAACGAGCCGCTCGAAGAGCTGATTGGCCACAATAGCTTCGTTGTGAGTGCGCGGCACACGCAGCACTTTGCGCTCATTGCGTTCCATATAGCGATAGTGAGCTGTAAGAGAGTGGAAAGTCTGGATTAAGCTGCCAAGCTCTTTGGCTGTCTGCGCACAGCGTCAGTCAGTCAGTCACTCAACCAATCACACTCATAGCTCACCTTCGATGAGGCCCGTCGCATGCTGCAGCATTATTTGAATATTCAGAGCCTGCCACTTCTCAATCCAGTCGAGCAGAGTGCTCTTGATGGGGTTCTGATTGATGAGCACAAAGTGCACGTGGGCAATGGCGTCCATGAAGGAGATATCATCTGCCAGCGAGCTATAGTGCTCGATGCCCGCCTCGAACACGCGCGCTGTCTTGGAGCTGGCCAGCAGTCGCTGTGTAAACGCCTCCTCGGTCAGCTCCCAGAGCGCATGATGCGCCTGCCACTGGATCACATACTGCTCGATCTTCTCCTGCTGGCGAGCAATCTCTGCCTCGATGCCGCGCACCAGCTCCGAGCATTCGGCATCCTCACGAAATGCTCTCGCGAAATTCGGACGTCGCTTCACCTTCGGGATCTTCAGCTTGTAGCCGAGCCGTGCAAACTGATCCACCAGACTCTGCACGCGATCGATGACGCCGCGCAGTACGGCGCCAACAGTGCGCATGTCGGGTGTGAGCTGTATTTGGGAGTCCTTCACGTCGGCCTCCATGACCAGAATAGGTCCAGGCGGCAGGTCCTCATCGGAGCGCAAGGCATCCTGCAGCAGCTGCAATGCGTTACGGGCGCAGCAGAGAAAGGCGCTCGCCAGCATATCATCAAAGACGTTCACATACTGATGCCACTCGCTGGATTGCTAATTATACATGGAGCGATATATAGATAGATGTAATGAGAGCTCGGATTAGCTAAGGCACTTGACTTACTTCTTCTTGCACCTCCGCAAACTCATTGGCCACCGCCGTAATGAGCTCCACAATGGTGTTGTAGTACTTTCGCAGGGCACTGTTGCCGCCATTCAGACAGCTGCTCAGCTGCTGCTCGAATACAGAAATATCCACAGCTCCACTAAAGTTGAATCGCAACATGGACGTATCGCAGATGCGTTCGCAGCAGCGCACAATTTGACGATTGGCGCGCTTGTAGAGCTGAATGATGTGACGCAGCTCCTCCACATGCTCCACACAGTCCTCCAGCCAATGGTCGTAGCTCTCATCGGGCTCCCCGGTCGAGAAGCCGGCATAGCTGAGCTTATAGATGCCCGGCGCGAACTGGCGATCGACGCACTGAATCAGTGCCCGAAAGAGCTTTCGCTCCCGTTGCGTGAGGCTGTTCACCAGGCGATTGTAGTCGAGGCAGAGGCGCAGCACGTTGTTATATATCAGCTTCAGGGCATCATGCTTCTCATAGATCTTGCGTATGGACAGGGGCAGAGCGTAGCCCAGCTTCTCGAAGTGCTGCGCCTGCGAGCAGAGCTGCAAGGCACTCGCATCCATGTTGCACTCCAGCAGGACCTTTGACTGCTTGCTGCGATGCACCAGATATCGCTCCAGCTTCTGGCACAGATTGCTGCCCGCCTGGCCGTGCCACTCCTCAAAGGCGAATCGTATCTCCCTCTCGAACTCCGTGCGCAGCAGCTCAAACTTGTCCATCACAGTCGCTGCCTGCGGCACAGCTGGCAGCCAGGTGGAGCCAGCTTTGGCCAGACGATCCCGCAACCAGACCAGGCGGTCCAGATTGATGCGGTAGGCCAGCGCATCGCTGACATGTGGGGGCAGCCAGGAGAGATGTTGCTTGCGTCGGAGCTGCAGCAACTGTCTGGTCGTTGTATCCATATCCTCGCTGAACTGCTGCCAGAGGCGGGTCACCTGGCCCAGATAGCATTTGCGCAGCGTGGCGTGGTAGGAATAGTAAAGCAAGACATTGAGTGTTTCCAGTGTCTCCTCTACATTGCAGACACGACTAAAGGCGTTCGAGAGGAGACGCTGCTGGGTCTCCTCCATGCCTCGGACAGCTTTCCGGTAACCCTCCATCTTCTCATACCACTCGCTGCGATAGACGTCGAGCATCAGAAGTTTCGTATTGGAGCTGCGCAGCTGATCGAGCGTTGTCAGAAACTGCTGCTCCACACTCACCGCAATCCGCTCCAGCTGCTCGCCGGCGGTGCCACTGAACTGTACCCCGCCTATGGTCTCCAGCTCATCCATTCGCCCGAACACTATCATTGCCTCGCATATGTCCTTCAAATCATTCAATCTCTCCATAAATGCGTGCACATGATTTAAGATGATGCCACGGTCCAGCTGCCAGCCAATCTTCTGGAGATCCAGTTGATGCAGCTGCTCCTCATACGACTGGCAGCAGTCCAGAGAGAGATTGCACATCTTGATGCCGAACCTCGGTCGGCCTTCCAGTATCTCGTCCAGATTTATTTGGCTGGTGCAATACTTAATAATCTGATTGCTCAGATTGCGAAAGAGTATAGTGATGCGATCGCTGCTCTTATAGTGCTCCGATTGCTCCCAAACGAAACGCAGCAGATGAAAGATTTGCGGCAACTGTTGCGACACGTCTGCCAATGATTTGGACTTGTCGATCTTGGCGCAGGGCTCGATCAGCAAATACAAATACCTTAGGTTTGACATGGCCAGCTCTTGCTCCAGCTGAGCAGAAGAGAGAAGCGCCTCGATTTGTGGCATGTGCACCGATTGCCATTGACGCAACACCTTGAGCACACGCTGCACATCGAACTGCTCCAGCTGAGAGTTCAAGCCCTGCAGCACCTCCACTGCAAGTAGACATGTTTAAAACATATATTAAATACTTTAAGTACGTCAATAGAAATCTTAATCTAAATGAAAACTAGAAACATAAATTTTACTTTAGGGTATTTTCTAGTCAGTCATACATAAAACTCGAGCATATTAATACCCACATCGATATTCCCAGAACTCGTATTCGTCGTTCATAGTTGCCAGCGTGTTGGCGGCCATCAGTGTTCGATCACTCAGCACTGTGCGTATCTGTGTTGTCCAATAGACGGCGATGCTTTCAAGATTCTTGAACAACGGCCTGTCACAGACGATTTGCTCCCCTCCAATCTGATGCAGCACAAAGGGCACATAGAGCGCCGTGATGCCACCGATCTTGGAGTTGATGGCAAAGAGGAAGGCCAACAATTTGTCGAGACTGGCGCAGAATCTCGAACGCACTGTCTGATTCCAGTCCTGGTAGTTGCGGAAAATTGGTGCATAGAAGCGTTCCAGCAGACGCATTAAACAGCCATCCACATCGCTGTGCACGGTGCCAAAGTGAATCTCATCATGGAAGCCTTCGACGGTGAATATTTCATTGGGCTCTCCACGCAAGAAGTAACTAATATCATCAACGGGCTTCGTTGGGAAGCCCAGGTACGCTGTCAGCACATTATCTGCATAGAAAATTGTGAGCAGCGGTTCATTGACCTCCAGCAGCCAGCGTCGTATATTATCGAGTGAAGCTTCCCTCCAATCCGTTTGATTCAACGAATACAATGTCGTCATGCGTTGTATATACTCAAGCAGTTGATTAAGCTCCTCATCGCTGTATGTGGGACGTGGCGTGGGAGGACGAATTTCCTCTGGCGGGACCTCTACCTTACGTTCTGAGAGGGAGTGGAATCACTCATTTTATTAGTAATACTAAGTATTTAAGCATTATTATATACCCTCATCATCGGATAAATCCGAATCAGTTAGATGCTCATCTTCCACAGCGCTGGACGAGGTCATATTTATTTTATTCGATATTCGTTACTCTTTTGCAATTGCAATTAATGGAAAACGTGAAATAAACAATGCATTGTTGCCATAGTATCTACATTTCAAAATCCGTTAAATCCGCCATTCAAAATATTACCTGCTTTGCAGCACCTACAAAAATTGAAATTCTACCGATATATCGTGTGAATGTTGCACAGGCAGCGGTACTCTGACTTTATTATATAGCAAGTGCATATCAAAGCTAAAGTTCATTATTACTGCTTGAAAATAATGATAAAATAAATTAATGCAACTAGTTTTATTTAAATAAACCATTGAACTAGCCTTAGAGACTTTTTGCTGTTAGGCAACACTCGAGAATGTTCTTGTATATGCTTATCGATATATCGAGTAACTTTAGCTATCATATTTAGCGTCAAATCGAAGCGGCAAATTTATTGTCATTCATAAGTAATTTCAAAAAAGCAGAGTAAATTAAATATTATGAATAACAACACAGCCGCGTTAGAGCTTGTCTGCGAGACGGCGAACTCGCTGTTTCCCGAATTGAATATGCGACCTAACGAGCTATCGCATCCAACAGAGGCATTTCTAACCAAGGTGCTGATTTGCTATCTGCGTTCCTTTGGCTTTCGACTGGAGCCGCCATACAATATCGAAAGTGAGGCGAAGGATACGTCCCGAGAGAAACGCTTGTTCTTGAGCAAGCTGTGCCGACAAGTGGAACGCATAATACAAATATCATTCCCAGGCAAAACATTCACCTATATTGATATCATAGAGCCAAGTATGAATGACCTATATACATTCATATGTAAATAGATATATAAAACTACATATATGTTATTGCAGCTGTGAAGAAGACTTCCAGCACACTGGATGTGCTCTTCAACTACAGATGTTTCTATAAAATGCAAAAAAAGGAGATCCTATGCCCCATTGCAGATCAGCTCAAGGAGCGTCAAGCTTTGAGTGCAGCCATCGCAGCAAAACGCTCTGAATTGGAGCTAAAAAAACAGAAGGCAGAGCAAATGAAAGTCGACATTGTTAATCACCAGGCCAGCATAGACAAGATGACTGTGGAGCTGCCAAAAGTAATGGCCGAGCTAAATGAGCAATCGAAGATCTTACAGCAGAAGGAAATGGAATCAGCTTTGCAGGAGGAGCAGCTGGCGGAGATCAATGCCCAGGTTAAGCAATTTGAGCAATTGTTGGTCAAGGACACCGAGGTGGAGTTAGTCGAAAGGTAAGTGAACAAAGAGCAAGGCAATCAGAGACTTATTTAATGCCAATCAACAGCCAAACAGCGCAAATACTTGCGCGCATCGAGAGCAGCAAGCAGGAAATGGAGAAGCAGGAGGAACTCTTCAAAGAGCGTCGCCTGGAGATCGAAGCCAATCAACAGCTAATCGATGAGTTAGAGAAGGCGATGAACATACTGCCACCAGACCTGCTCAACGAGTACAAAGAGAATCTCAAGCTCAAGGAGCGAATGGAGAAGAAACATGCATCGATAGAGACCAAACATCAGAGTGTTTTGGCTAGCAATGAGAAGCACAAACAGCAACTCGCAGAGTGCGAAAAGAAACTAAAATCACTAAAGGTACAATTCGAAAAGGATGCACAAGAGCCAAAGCAGCGTATCGCAGAACTGGAAACATTTATCAACCAGCAAGAAGATCATATCGTTGAGCTGCAGCAGAGCAAGGGCCAGCTGCAGGAGCAAATGGAAGCGGATCAGTGCGATGCAGAGCAAATCAAAATAATTGTCTCTAGCTTAATAGATCACTGAGTGGTTTCGACTTAATATATTTATTTGTTTATTGCTAAAGCTTAAACTGTTTGTTTGTGGTTAGGGACGAACGAGGGGCAGCAAATCTTCATGTATCCATTTTTTTGCTCTCCAGATGTGCCTTCAGCTGCTGACTGAAATCATCCTCTACATTGTCGTCGTCCCAATTATCCTCCCACACATTTGGCTCCTCCACATCGTCGGCCACGCGGAAGTCTGTCAAGGAATGCAACTCATAATTCAATATACTTAAATAAAAACAAAAACAAATTTTTACCTTCAGCGGGAAACTCTTCAAACTCGTCATCTTCCTCTAGAAGACCCAAATCCTCGCTCTTCTGATTTGTCTCCTCCTTATCCTTTTCCTTCTCTTTATCTGGCGCAGACATGTTTAATATTTGTTTGTGTATGCTGAATTACAATTGTTAAACAATTCTACTTTTTCAACAAATTTGACGCTTAGCCGAAATGATGCCGAGTCATTTGTCTAGAGATGTAAGTAAAAATAACAATATATCGATATTCAGTGTTGAGCAACAGTTCTGTTCAATAAGGCAATCATATTAAAAATCATAGCGCTGCCAGCTAGGTAAAGTGAAATCGGCGCGCTGTTCCCTTTTTGAAATATGCATTTTCATTTTTCTTTTACTTTTATTTATTTTATAACATTTTGACTTGTGGCTATTTGAGTTTCAAGCTAGTAGGGTTATTGAGCAGTTGAAGTGTACGTAACGTTAACATTTATAATAAATAGTTTTGCGGTATGCTTTTGATTTATTGCATATTGTTTTGTTTTCTGTTTTGTTGCATAGGCTTCTTTTTCATATAAATTTGTATTTGGTTGGAATTTTTAGCATGCCAAAACTGTTGCGTTCGTTATATATTTTTTTATACGTTTCTTTTGAGCTTATTGTAAAAATTTTGTATGCCAAAATATATCTACATATGTATTAATATAGATTTGTATTTGTTTTAAGTATGCTACTTTTATAAAGGAATAAAACACCATACATTTGAATATTTTGTTCTTTTTCTTCTTTTGTTTTGAACTTATTTTTGTTCGATTTGTGTTTTTGCTTTGCTTGAATTTCGATTTTTTATGGGCTTCATTGCTATTTGTTTACATCACAGACGCACAACGCACAAATAAAAATGCAATTATTATCATCAATTAACAATTTGTTTTTTCTTTTAAGTTTTTTTTTTAAGCTCCTTTTTTATGTGCTTAACGGTTTTCTCTTAAGAGACTGTCACTTTTAAGTGAAATAAGAATTTCGTAAATAACAAAAGTGATCTTTTTTTTAATACTAATAAGTGCTGCGAAAGCTTTTTATAAATAATATAACTTTGTTAGCTGGTGCTGTTATCTGATCAAATAGTTCAAAAAGTGCTTGCCGTCCTGCTCCATTAAGTTAAACGGCCCTTATATACTTCTGTGTATGTGTGTGTGTGTTTGTATATGTGTTAGCAAGTTGATAAATATATATATAAATAATATATATATATATACATGGTTGTTGTGTATTATTAAATAGGCATCTAGTACATATAGTATTTGAAAGCTTTCTAGAAAAAACAGTTTTTATCACATATAGAGAGGAAGTGTTAAATATGTTTTATCTGTTGATCTGTTTAGTTTTGTAAGTTGAATATTAATATATAAATATATATATATATAATAATAATACAAACATGCATTGTATACAATCTGTAAATTAAACAGCTTAGCCTCATTGAATGCATCGAGTAGTTGCAATCAATCATTTCATATTTTTATCATTCATTTTCATGCATATTTCGATATTAAAATTTTTGCTTTTGTTTCAAATAGAGCACCAATAAAATGTAAAACAAAGTTTTTGTGGTTGTAAACAAGTTGCATTAATAAATAGAAAAAAAAAATGATTTAAATTATTTACTTTAACAGGCTAGAAATACGTTCACAGATCTGGCACAAATAACGAGTGAGTCACTCGCTGCGCTAACTCGTTTATTTGGGCCAAGATCAGGTTCTTTTTATAGTTGAGAGCTTTTTCATATAAGTATTTGTGTGTGTGAGAGAGTTGGTGTATGTGGTGTGTGTGTGTGTGTGTGTCTCTTTTTTAAAACGCTAAGCGTTCTCTAACGGTATTTGTTTTGCGCTTACAAACTACATAAATACACATCGAACATCGAAAATATTGATAGCGCATATCTATATGCAATAATAATAAAGGATTAATATTAAAGCAAGTCAACCGACAAAGGGCAACGAGTAAGCGAATCGCTAATCGACAAAGCAAAGTAAAAACTCGCTGTTAAACTAGGGCAGGCGTTGCCTCAATTTACAGCCAGTGCTTTACTCGCATGCGATATCTGTGCTACTCGTGGCTCGCCTGTGGGTTTAGCTTACATTATCTGATATACATACATATATAAATATATATAATATAATTACAAACAACAAATCACTACACATTACTTCAACTGGGTTTTTTTTTTTTTTTAGTTTTCTCTTCTTGTTTTTGCTTTTGTTTACTCGCGCCTTGTTCGCTTCGGTCGCGTGGGCGCAAACGAATCGGCTGATGCGGCACTCGTTGCACTGCCTCCAATACTCGCGCCCTCTGTCGAGGCTATAGCTGTTATAGTCGCCGATATGGTCGCCGGCTGTCGACTATCTGTGCCACTGCCACGCACCTTGCGCGATGCCACCGACTGGGCGGTCACCTGCAGTGAAATGGCATGCGTGTTCAGCTTCTCGGCCAGCAGCAGATCCTTCAGTCCTTTCATCTTCTGACTATACAGCGTGATCACGGGACGTTTAAGCATTATCTCGAATGGATCGTAGTCGTCAACAACTGTTGGCTGATTGTTGTTCGCCAGCTCCACTTGGCTGATCTCCTCCACTTTAGCTTCTTTATGCTGCTGTTGTTGTTGCTCGTTGTTGTTGCTGTTGCTGTTAGCCTCATTGTTGCCGTTGTTGCTTATGGTTGTAGCCTCCTTTTCAGCATTGTTGCTGCTGTTGGTGTTGTTGTTGTTGATATTGTTGTTATTGTGCGACAGTTCGCTGGACGTTGTTTGCTCGGCTACCGCCTGTTGCTTTTGATCAGCGAACGGCTGACCGCCGCCCTGCAGCAGAAAATCGGGATTCAATATCTTTTCGCCACAAGCAGCTGTGAGATCCGCCAAAGTTGTTGGCAACTCCGATTTTGATTTCTGTGAATGGAAGGGAATCAGTATGATTAGAAGAGTATTATTGTAGCTCTAGGAGATTGGTAAATCATCATCATAGGACTGATAGAAAGTTTAAATAGACACACAAGTGAATCTAAATCTTTGGACTACATCAGTAAATAGTAAATGCTTAAAATGACATATAACTATCCAAGGAATTATATATCAATCTGCAATATCCTACCTCATCCTTCTTAACAACCGTGTTGTTGTTGTTGTTGTGGCCCTCCGCATGTAGCGACGCCTCGACAGCTGCTGCTGTTGCTGCAGCCGTTGCCTTCTTTTTAGCCTCCAATGCTGCTGCCTGTTCGGCCTCCACATCCTCGGGCAGCTTGATGACCACCTGGGAGCGTATGTCATAGTCGAACTTGGTTATGTTCGTGACCAGCGGCTTGGCCCAGCCAATGTGCAGAATGGGCGTTAGGCTGTCCTCCTCCCACTGGCAGATGCCATCGTAGAAGCGCAACAAATTGGCAAACACCTCCGCATCGCGCAGAATGCTGCGAGCCGAATGACCCGAACTCTCCGTCTTCATCACATAGGGTATGAGCTCATTGGCAATGTCCAGCAGCTCCTTGTAGATCTCCTCATCGTCGCGGCACTGGTACGTATACAGGCGTATGACGTCGGCGGCATTCGCCCAGGCGGCGAAGGCTTCGCGATATTTGAGCAAGCGATTGTAATAGTTGCCCTGAAAGATGTGCGGATAGACGTGATGATTGTGATAGTAGTTGCGCGAGGACTCGATTGCCTCGCGGAACAGTTGCTCGCAGGTAATGCTGCGATGCGTCCGATTGATCTCCTCCAGCTCGCCGAGCAGACCCAGCGCCATGGGGTAGCGCTTCAGGTGGCCCAGATCGTAGAGTAGCCACAGCAGCTGCTGCTGCAGCTCGGCCACCTCAACGCAATCGCTGTTCGCACTGAGAGATATATTTAAAGCTACGCAGATGGCAGCCACCTCCATGCCACGCTCACAGATGACGGCCAGGCCGCCCAGGTACAACCACGAGCCGGACTCAATGCCGGCGCTAATGTCCTGGCCACGCTTATCCTCGCTGCCCTTGCCATGCCAGGTCACCTCGATGCTCTCCACGTGCTTCTGTCCGAATACGACCCACGCATGATCCTCGGATATGGCCAGGCGTACGTCGCGATAGCCCAGCAGCTGGCAGCCGGCGGTCGTGGCCAGCGCCACACCAAAGCAATCCAGCTTGTTGCCGGACAGATAGCTATACAGATTCTGCAGATGGGCTCGATCCTTGTAGCTGCTGCGTATCAGCGAATTCCAAATCACGTCCGACACCTTCTTGATGATCTCTCGTGTCGCCTGGCGGTGCGGCTTCGGTTTGTCCACCACCGACAATATCGTCTGGAACTTCTTGTACAATCCGGCAATCAGCTCGTGTGTCACCACGGGAAAGGGCACGCTGTTGCCCATGATTATCTCATTGCTGCCACCTAAAAATTAAAAAAAATATATATAATAATTGAAATTATATTGAAATTGCATTAAAATACAACCAAATATGATATATTGTTATATTATTAAAAAGTAGGTATAATTAAATTAAAATAATAATTATACGTGAATAAAATTGTATTTTATTTGTATTTAACTATCTCACTCATTTTTTTATTTTTAACTAAACGCAACTAAATATAGTTAATTATTATTGTAAAGAAATATATTTATTTAACTGAAAATTTAACAAAAATTAGTTTATTAAATCATTTTAATATTTTATAATAATGTTATATGAAAAATAATAATAATTATATGCCTATTATTTATAAAAAAAAATAAAATAAAAAATAAAAAATGATGTCAACAAATTTGGATACTTTTGCAATTTTT